GATGAGCACGCTCCACCAATTATGGGCGTGTCCCCCTTTTTTTCAAGTGTGCTTGGTTCCCCCATTGCTGTTCACTAAAATTTTCTGCTTTGTGAACAATCGAGATTTAATCTTTGTAATCAAGGATTAATGTGAGAGAACGCTTGGTTCAAGTCAGGAAATGCTCTCTGATTACGACCTCGCGACACTGTGCACACCCTCGCATTTTTCTCTGATATCTGAGCTGTCTAGAAACGATTCAGAAAATTCAGCTATAGGCATCGGGCATTGGGGCAGGCACCATTTATCGTGGGCGCGCATTCATTGCCGTGCCGCTTCAACTGCTGTTTCGTACAAAGAAAATGTGACTTTAGAGTGCATCGAGAGGTTTACGCAGAACCCTAAATGAAATCACTCAAAGGGATATCCTGAACAATACGAACTACACTTTTTCGCGTTGAATTTATTCATATGAACATATTTATAACTCGTTATTGGAATACTTGCAGTGCAAATTGGCATTTTTTCTCGAAATAGAGTTCGAATGAATTCCGTTTTTTGCTTATATACCTGAATACTTGTTCGTTGTCTACCGATGATCTTCAGCGGGTAGCACACGCTCCCCTCCATTTTTGACGATCTTGAGGGGTTTGGAGCCCAGTGTTGGATCGCAGCTTCTTGAAGTTTCTTCAGGGAGTCTCTCCATTACGTTGCAGGACGACTAAGTGAACGCCCAACGTCTTGTGGATACCAAAACTTATGCGAATAGCCGACCGTTCGCCTGCGCTTTTGACTACGTGTCCATCCCGTGTGCGTCACGGATGCCGGAGATTGAGCGTACATATGCCTGTCCCGCGCAAGTTGTGGCTACACTGCGCGGCAGTTAATGTTCAGCGATTTTCCCCTGAAGCGCTCTTTTCGAGCGGGTTATCATAGTCTTGTTTCCAGACCACATCTCGAATTCTGAGGGTTTTACCAAAGATTCGCATAGATCTGTTCGCATCATAATCATGCCGAGATTAATGGAGAGTCGTTATGGACTAGTCTGTACGCATCTTTTGTCTCAGATGAGCTGAGCGGCTTCTTTGATGTTTCCCACTGCCGCCCATGCGCATCTCTGCACGTCATGTTCTCTGCGCTCAGTTGTTGTCCAGGAGATGAGTCGACTAGGGTGAATATTGCTTGAGGATTCCTCAACGGCACGTCGAGGATTTTCGCCTGATCCTTTACGTTCTCGCGCGCGGATATTCACTCTCGCCACCCGCGAGCCGTCTGTGCTCTCCGCGTACATTCACTATCGGCTCTACTCTCGCACAGCAGAGAGCGATGGTCGAGGAATTCTCGACCGTTATTCACCTTCATACCAAGGAGCTTACGATACCCACGAAAGGCACGCTCCTTCGGGAGAAGTAGCACAGAAGATCGGATCTGCACAAAAGGCTGCCGTTAGCATTTGACTTTCCAGAACTGCTCGATTGGCATTGACGTTCGAAGAACTCTACGCTTTTGGAGAGATCATCTTTGTTGCAATATCAAGGGGTCATCCTTTCGAGTTTAACCCATTCCTACCCGTGTCAGGCCCAATTTGCACCTGTGGCCACCTGGATTTCAAGAATTTTTCCAACGATTCAGTTTTTCGACAAACGACATGATTTTTGAAGTACATATCTGTGTATAATCGAGTCGTATGCATAAAAAACCTAGACCTTGATCTTAAACTCGTTCCTAAAATAGCTAAAAACCAAGTATACCTCCTCTCTGAGTTCAAAGGGAACAAGTATATAGCTTAAAAGCACTTTAAACCAATTGTGAGATCTGATGCCATTGAATTCAAATGTTTTGGACGCTTTGGTCCCTTTTCTCCCAGTGCAACTTGTTATGAGCCCTTTAATATCTCCCCCTCCATTTTATGGCCCTATACTTTATTACACGACAGTTTTCTGTCATACTCATCACATGTATGCTCTCAGACATTACAAACACACGAACAAAACAAAATAATGCTTTTAGGCGCCGCGCCGGCCACAGCAAAAGTGCGCAGTCCAGAAAGGGTTAAGCATACAGCTCCTTATTGGGAAACATGCAGCAAGGAGTGAAGACGACTAGCCACAAACAGTCAATGGGGCATCAATCGGAATACGGCCAACGCTCGGAACAGTAGCTGTCAGCAGTACGTCATATGCCTTTGCGTCCTCATACATTACGATCGACGCAGCCTTTGCGCCTGCCCTACTCGTGGGGAGAACTGTTTAATTCTAATCGTGGAATCTTTGAATCAATTATTTCAGTGGCCGTTCGGACAAGGGCAGAAATGAATGGTGAACTACATTGCAAAGATTTCACAAAAAACACTTGTTGCCTGAAAAGTTGACAAAAGGGAGCTAAGTCGTATTCTTCATAGGTGTTTTCAAGGAGAATGAAAACTCTTGTTCTCTGTAAAGATTCTCTCATGAGAACCGCGACGCGGACATCGTTTCTGAAGAAGAGTGAGGCTTCTTGACAGCCGTTTGTACTTTTTTTTATTTTTCGGATAACAATGGGCACCACTCAATTTTTGGTTGTTGACATATTAATAGTGCTTCTGGTTATTACCACTTTTTTGAGCAATGGCTGTTTTCTCTACATGATTACCAGGTAAAGAGCATTCCTATAGATACAGTACCGCACAGTGAAGTATGCGCATCCACTTTTTCGAACGTGACCCCTCAAAACGCAAGATTTTTTTGGGTGAAGGGAGGAGGGGGAGGAGGGTGGACTTGTATTGTAAGTGATTCAAACAGCTCTTTCAACAAGAACCTGATGCTCATTCGAATGCTGCCCGTCAACACCCATTCTCACATGTGATGAGTGGTGAAATTGTAGGTCACGAATCTCGTGTGTTTTCACTGTTTGGTCATTTTTATGTGCCTAATACATTATTCAGTCAGCCAACAGATTGGGAAATTCGTAGCCTGTGGCAGGTCTAGGTCGGCGCCATCATTTGGATCTTCCATGAGGGCTTCAAAGCAAGCAAGTTCCCGAAATCCAGCTAGTGTCAATGCCACCCGTTGAAACAATTTGGAAGGAATCAAAGGACCTGAAGCCTGCAGAAATGCAAAAGCATCCAAGACTAGTAAGAGCGACTGCTCATCTCGACGACAAAAAAATTGTGCGGCTCGCAAGGGCGACCCTCGTTTCACAGCAGACTCTCCTCAAAGCTCGACGTCGGGTCCATACCCCTCCGTAGACGTGTAAGACATCGTCTAGGGAGGGCAGCCTGTTTGAATTTCATCCAAAAAGCACTATTTTTATTAGAAATCACGAAGCGCGTCTTGACTGGGCGCATGATTAAGAACTGAGCTGTTCAGCAGTGGTGAAAGGTTATTCGGAGTGAAGAATCGGAATTCCTGCTATTCGATATGGATGGAGTCAACTTTGTGCGACGTCCTGTTGGTGCTGCAATTGGAGGTACCAGCGGTGTGCGGTGTAGTGCATGGCACATTCTGTGGCAAAGCAGATGGTCCCATTCAATTGACCGAGGGTAAAATGGATTTAGAAATGTGCCTTGGAGGCTGCTAATTTCCTTACCCTACCCGGGATTTTTTAACAGCGTAATGGTTTGAAGTACAAATCAAAGCTGCTAACCAAGTGGTTCCGTGGCCATCGCACTCCCCCGACTTAAATCCTTTTATCAAAGGCCCGATTATGAAAGTTAAGGTCAAGTCGTCGGGGCTCGCAACGAGCAGTTGGAGATCGCATGAGAAAATGTCCTCCACGAGAAGATCAAAAGCTCATCGAGTCCATGCCATGTCGATATCTACTCATATAGATGTCAAAAGTTTTGCCAGAAATTACTGATATTATAGTTGCTATATTTCTGGTTATAAAACTTATTTTGTTTTTGATTTGAAAATTTTGAGATTCGAACAGTCCAAACAAGAAAGGTGGTTTTGATAAGAAAAAAGTCAAAATTTTGAAATACTTTATAAGCTATGTACCTGGACAGCTGAAAGTTTACTCACTATTCCCTTTTAGTAATATGCGTTGACAACGAAGAAAAAATCGGAACAAAACCTTGAGTTTTGAGAAGCTACTTTTGAAAAAAAAAGTGTAGTTGCATACTTTGCTGCACGCTACTGTAAATAATCATACTAGGCAAAGATAACACCTTTACTTATCCAGAGACAAGAAGCTTCGCAGAAATTTTGGACTTCAGTTGCTGATTTTCTTATCAATCGCAGACTTCCTCCTCGCTGTAACGAGTCAGTTTGATTATTAGTATTTTTCATTATTATCAAGGATGATGACGAATGTCAGATCATTTACTATACATATTGCAGCTCCTCCATATGTTGTATATTTGCTGGTCCGTTGGCATCCAGAATATATAGACATCGATCCACACTACGTGGCGATTTCAACTGCTCCTCAGCTAGCTCTGATGAAAATTCACCTAACGCTTACTCTGTCAATAGCGATTGAGCGAATACTGGTGAGGAAGTGTGGACTAATCTACGGCTCTCCTGCAGTTGAAGGGTTTTAGCCGCAGCGGCGCGGAGTGTTCCGTCTGCGCCTTCTAAGTGAGATATGTGAACTTCACATCAAAGCTTCTTGCACATGTCAAGTGCCTGACCCCAGCCCGCCGCCTTCCCGAATTGCCTACATTGCTCGTAGTTCACGGATTCCTCAATTCGCGCCTATGTTATAACTACCTCGACTTGAAGACGCAGAAAAGCGCACCGCAGCGCCAGTTGGCCTGCTACGAGTAATCTGAAACCGATTCCATTTATGTGATAATACCTCTTCCATTCAGGTTCTTTCATTTCCATTAACCTACCGAGAAATGTTATCTCCCATTTATTCCTCAGGTAGTCTGCTTATTTGTTGCCTTATTGCGGCACTGGATCTCTTTTTACTGTTCGCTTTCTCGTCTTTCAAAAGATCACCAAACTGTGCTGCTTTTGGATGTCTAATCAATAGCGAATTTCGATATTACTGGGTAATCAGCAATATGGTAAGCTATTTTGAATTATAGATCTCCATCGCGAAGATAGAAGAGTGCGACGGAAAGCATGCCCCCACCTTCTTCACACTTTAAAGCGCGACCACGGATGAGCGCGGCCGAGTCGATAGTGCCCGCGAACTGTGTGTGATGCGTTTTCAAATTTACCCACACAGTTCGCGGGCACTATCGACTCGGCCGCGCTCGCCGCGGCCGCGCCCCAAATCGTGAAGAAAGTGGGGGAGCCCGGAAGGCATTAGCAGGTCTATCTAGTAAATACAATAAACAACAAAAAAAGAACCCTCTTAGACTCGAATTAACATCAAAAAGACGATCTCCTCCACAAAGAGAAAGTTTGCTGCTACGATAAAGCTTTTTTATAGAATTGTCACAGGTTTCCCGAAGCGATTGTGCATTCTGTATTAAAGGACGAATTCACGATTAGAATGAAGGTCGAAGAAGGAGAAATTCACCTAGTTGAGGGACCCGCGGACCTCCTAAGGGTGCGGACTGAAGCGCAATTCGCACCGAAGGAGTTGACCTCGGCGACCTATTAAGGCTCAATCTTGGCGCGGTGGGCCAGTGCACGCCCACCGATCATCTGATCACTCGCCGTAGGTCTATACGTGGCGAGTGATTAGATAGGATGAGAGAGCGTAGTGTTGAAGAGGGCACAACGATGACCTTTCAGCGTGAATTCGTCCTTTAGGGCCAAAAAACTCATCTCTACGAAGGTTTACGTTCCTGAATTTGTTTTTGTTAAGGTCATTGGTATCCTAGTAATCACTATGACGGCTCTGGTTATTGCAAAGCTGCGCTCCATCAGAAATATGTCCGCCATGGCACAAAAACATCCCATCAAGTTTCGGCAGGTAAGTAGTAATTGAGATCTTATGGTGGCGAATCTGTACTGATTTGTGCCCTTTTTTGTGTTTAGGCAAACCGTATCTCGACAGGAGTTCTTCTGATTTCTCTAGTGTTTTTCATACTTCCAAGCGTTGGCATCGGTTTCGCTGAAGCGGTCAATTATTCTATCTTCAAAACTGTTGGCCCCTTTTATCTGCTCGGTCTGCTTTGCGCTGGTAAACATAGGAAAGTGTTAAGGCCGTACACTGAGTAGTTGATCAGTGCTGTTTTTCAGGAACTTGTAACAACGTTGTATACTTTGCTGTGAATCCAGAAATCCGAGAATCCGCCAAGAAAATGCTGGTATTCACAAGCCGTGTCTCGAGCCATCCACATCCAATTATAATGTAGTTCTCTCTGAAATGACTGCCAAATAAATTTATCGGTATAAATGAATATGCGCTCCGCTTTTGAAAGGAGAGTTTGGCTGTAGTTAGTGATGACGCAATGTTTTCTTACTAGAATGCGAAGATCTGTGGGAATTTTTTGCTTTGATTCACTTATTCAGACGAATAATACATCATTACTCATAAATACTTACTTATTTATTTGGGCAGAGATATCCGAGTGGTTAAGAGTGTAGACTCATGTCTGCACCTCTGGAAAACCGCGAGT